TACTTTTTTCACGCTTTACTATTGAAATGTATGGAAAAATGACGTTTTTGTGAAAATAGTTTCTTTTAAAAAGGTTGGATAACATTTTAAAGACGTAGACGAATTAGTGAGGAATTTCAAAGTGTCAAGATGAGGTAAAATCAAAACTATTAATATAAAAAAATCAATATGTCTTCTCGCTAGATTTTTTGCTAAATAATTTCAAAGTTTTCTGTTATACTGCTAAAATGTTGTGTTTATGGCGTTATTAATATCTACAGCGTCATTCGTTGAACGTAGTCACGTTAACAGTACGAGTATAAATATCTTGACCTTTGGAATATGCAAGAATTAGAAGGTGACATCGATACAAAAGTTAATTTTATTCATCATTTAATTTATTGCAGGGACATATTAGGATGACCAGCAACTTATTGAAATTCGTATTCTGATAACAGTCAGAATGAACGATATAAATATATAAATCCTCGTGCAGCGACATTAACATGCAGCGACAATGTTCAACGCGAGTGAAAAAATATTAGTACATGTTCCCGTATTTTTATGAAATTCATGGTCAATAGGATTTCAGGCATAAATAAAAAATTTGATCACTTTATTTGAAAACGGTAAGAAAAACATTCCGGTACTGAGGAAATAAACCATCCCGATACTGAATATAAGCGCGCGGGTGGGGGTGTACCTGCAATGTTCTTTCTATATTAGTCGCAAGCTATAGTATATGCCACAAAATCTCAACCATTTGTTAATTTCGAATTCGCTGAATCAAATTTCAAAACACAAAATGTAAAACACACTTGCATTTAGCTTTTACACGTTGAGCTTTTGTTATAAAAAAAAATACAGAAAAAATGACTTGTAAATTGTTTACAGTGTTTAATAAGTCTTACAGTCCAGGGTGTTTGAAAAAAATTGATTTTTAAATGCATTTCACAATTTATAAGCAAGCAAAACAAGGCGAGTGCACAAGATTTAAATACATAATCACAACCAAACAATAATGATGATGATAATTTTAAAAACCCCAGGAAAATACATGTTATTAAATTTAACCCATTTTTAGTGATGAGGATTGATTTCGTCCTGAAAAGTATACGCATATTTTCGCCCCAACTTTTATTTGTAGCTATGATACAATACGCATGTTCCCCTGATTTTCAAATAACGTGCGCACATACAATCCCTCAAGTTTCCCGCTTTATTCATGATAACTTTCTTTCTGCAAGCCATAACCTTTACGCTGATTTATTCTGATTGACTTCTAGCAGTTTAGTTACACTTAAAAGAAAATAAATCATTGCTTTCATTTGGTACTGTATTTAATTAGTCCTAAGATATTACATATAATAACACCATAATTCAGACTGAAATACAATTATAAAACATGTACGAGGTTTACATACAAAAGCATGCACTTTGTATTAATATACTTGATTCATACATACTTGAAGTCATTTGCAGAGAATTAAACGGGAAACAACGTAACGTTGCCTTTGTGACGTAACTGACGTCATAATCAAATGTGCACAAAACAACTGCTCGAATCGTTGAAATTGTGTACCAAAATTGATGACAAAAGCAACCCCGCGACCTACCTTAACGCCCTATTTTGGATCTTTTTGCGACTCCTCTACCAAGCTGAAAATGAAGTGAATCCCAAATATATTACAAGCAATGGAAAGAGCTACATATACTTGGTTATATTAGGTGGAACATTATTGCAAAAACAATGCCCTATTGTTATGTATCAACATTGAAGCAACGATACACGAGTGTCGTCTTCCGGAATTCTACATGTATCCGTAGTGGTTTTTATGTCCCACAATCAATATTTATAAGAGGCGGGGGTATCGATCGGCGTCATTGTTGACATCTCTCTCTCTATCTTTCTCTCTCTCTCCAAAAATTTGAATACGTGTTTAGCATATTACGGCAATGTCAATATGAAATTATTTTAAAAATGTGATGACACACAAATTAAAACATTATTTAATTTGCCAAATTTTGAAAACGGCAACAAAACATTCTCAAAGACACAATTTAGATTGAGGTCAGGTTGAAGAATACAATGTAACTTTTTTTGACGAGTACACTCGCAGGTGGACATCACGTGACGAATTGTAATATTTAACAGGTCAATCGCAGTCATAACAATGGAAGAGAGAAGTTTATTTTGAACATGTTTTTTGTAAAATTAAATGTGAGCGCATGTTTGTCGGCACTTCTCCTTTAAATATAACATTATTTTGTTTAATATACAACTACAGTTTTCTTAAGAACAGCCGACAAACATGTGCTGACTATGAATTCAGATGATAAAAACGCGTGACCCTGATTATCTATTGATATTCAAGAAATCTTCAGGCACCATGCCTTAGATATTTATTTAGTTTACTTCGAAAAGATCGTTTTAAATTCACGTCCGTACCATGAATACACAGTTAAGATATTGGGGGTTTATATGATGGAAAAAATAAAGATTTTATGAAACTTAAATTTACGGCATTTTTTCTGGCCAGTTAAGTCCACCCATTCTTTCCATGTTTCGAAATTAAACAAATGCAAAATATAGTCATATAAAATTTCTTGTGGCAATTGTTATCGACGAAATAAACGAAATTTAACGCCCTACGAATATTTCTACTTCTACAGTACTTCCTCCCACCAATACCAAAAATAAATATAGGGGATATGCATTAGTAATTGTCCCTGTATATTTATTGAATGGGTTCAATGGCAATATGTATAAGTCGGATCAGTGACAAGATGTAGATGTAGCCCAAATCTGTTTTAATATACCTTTTGAAATAAAATAAAATAAATAAAAAGAAAGTAATTTTCATAAAAATGGTGCCCAAAAAATCTTATTTATTTTTTTTTTTCAGGTGAAATTAAAACGCCAGAGTCTGTAATCCCTTTGAATGTCAGAGGTATGTTGGTGATTTCAAAAACAAAAACTGGCAAAGTGAAATAATTTGCACAAAATTCGTTAACCTTGACTTTTTTTCAGTCAAAACCAAATATTGTACAGTTTAACACACTTTTTAAACTGGCAGGGTTTTTTGCACAAATTAAAGTCATATTTTTCTTGCAATAAAATTTAAAATTATCGAGTTTCAGTACACGACACAACCATTATATTATTAAATATTTCGTGTTAAAGGTGCAAAGTCTCCACAATCATTATCTTAAGTTTCAAAAGTCAATGTTCGTAAAAAGAATTTGTTTATAGATTGTACAATGTTAAATGTGTATGATTCTATCATAGGTATTTACAAATTAATTGATTTTTTTATACTATTTGCTTGAATACAGCACCGAAAAATGACAAAACTGCATAAAGAAATCATTTAAAAGGATTGGATGATAAAGTGTTATTTATCTTTCAACATAGTTAATTGTAATTATTGAAAAGAAAAGTATTTTAAATTTATGGTCTGAAAATTTTGAATTCTGCGTTGAAAAGTATCTTTCAAGATTCTATATTTCAGGAAGTTAAGCTGAAAAATGCCATCCTTTTAGTATGGAAAGCAGTTGAACAGATGAGAAATACTAATTTCATCTTGCGTTTAGTGTCATATTTATGTACAGAAAATACAGAAGTTACATGATTCGCATTGTTTTTCTATCAAAAGGCAAGGCAAAAATATGCTTTAACATGTCTGAACGGATACCAAGATCATTGCATTTGACGAGAAACCATAAAAAAACCATTTGGAAACTCTCATTAAATATTATGAAGAGCATGTAAAAATCCTACAAATTATTGCGTGTAATTTATGTTTAAAGTAACGGAATAAAATCAAAATCAAGTTAGAAATCATTTCTAAAATATATTTTGTTGTTACGTAACACAATTTTGCATCATAACAATGTGACTTCAATTTGTGCAAAAACCATGTCAGTTTAAAAAGTGTATTGAGCTGTATTTACATTATTGTTTATATTTCCATGGTGGCAATAGACATTCTGAAATACATTATTAGAATAAATTATATATATTTCTTTCTTCAGAACTGTGTAAGGAATAAGACATTATAAAATCTCCATTTTTTGCTTTAGTATATGTAAAAGAACTATTTTTTCTTGATAATTAACATTATTTGTCTCAGTCGCTCGCACGGAACAGTGGTTAGAACGTCTCCTGTAGAGTCACTAAAAGCTGAACCTTATGTACCAGGGTCAAATCCACTACAGGAGTATAGACTGGTCCTTCCGATGAAACCTTTTTAACTCAGTCACTAGGCAATGGTGCCTCTAAAAATTGGGAATGCCATGATGTCTAGTTTAAAGCATAAACCAAAGTCAATCGTTGGAAAGTTGTTGCATGATGCTCAGGCTAACTATATATATAACTATAAGGCCCATGGGCCTCTCGTTAAATATAGAACAGAAATCCATAAATTGCTGCACTTCCTCAAATTCAACCCTGCTTACTTATCTTTCTTAAATAATACTTCATTAAGCATTTGCTTATTTTGCATGTGTTAAACGATGAATTATTGGGAAATCTGGATAATTACATTATTGACAAGATAAAAAAAATATAGAATAAACTGCTGAAACAATTTATTTTAGATATTTTTGAAAAAGATATAAAACTATGGAAAGAGGAAGATGGGGTTTACAGTGAAAGCCACAGTTTCCCTGCAATGTTGGATCAAGTCAAAAAGCAACCTTACATGACATTTGTTGGTATCCCAGGATCAGGAAAATCAGCAACCATTCACCACATAGCCCTGATACTCCAGAAGGAAGAATACGAGGTTGTACCAATTATAGACATCAGGAAGATTGAAGATTATTCTGACTCTCGTCATCCACAGGTTTTTGTCATTGATGATGTGGTAGGTGTTTTAGGTCTGCAAAAGCAAAAGTTAGAGTCATTGATAGACTATGAAAAAAGAATTTCAGGTCCTTCCAATAGAAATACAAAGGTATTAATGTCATGTAGGGAAGCAGTGTTTAATGAATGTTAAAAATCATTTTTCTCAAATGAAAAAAACACAATTAAGATGCATTGTTCCAAAAATGCATTGAACAATGAAGATAAAAAAGCCATCCTTCAGAAACACGGCTTGGATAGAGAGTTGTTGACCCCTGCATTACTGGAAGACACATTGGGTATGTTTCCTCTGTTGTGTAAACTATATTCAAAAGAGGAGAAATTTAGAAAAAATGTTGAAAGGTTCTTTACCCGTCCAGCTGAATGTATTTTAGAAGAATGTGATAAAATGCAAGTGCAAAATAGTTTATGCTATTATACATTGGTCTTGTGCATGTTAAATGACAATAAACTATCAAAAGAAATATTGAAAAACACTGGAAACGCAGTTTTCTGGGAGATGAAATCAAAAGTATTAGAATGTTGTGAAGTTGAAAGTAACACTGATGCATTTAAATTTGTAAAAGCATTGGCAGCTATGGAGGGGACTTACACAAAACTTTGTGGTACTGAGTACACCATTATTCATGACTCTGTATTTGAAATCCTTTCATATCATTTTGGTTCTCAGTTTCCAGATCTTCTTTTGCAATATATTAGCAGTGGTTACATTGCTAATAACGTGAAAGTACAAGAAGATAAAGGAGAGTCGGAGGTTGAATGTAAACAAGTTGAAAATGAAGAGTTTAATGGTCAGGAGAATAAAACATTAAGTAGTGAAAGAAGCCAGGATTTGTTTGATCTCTGTCTTAGGTTAAGAGAGGATAAGTATCCAATGTTAGCAGAGCGTTTGTACAGAGACATAGAAAATATGGAGCTGTACGATGTTTTTATGAATAATATTTTGAAACATCCTAAGGTGTGTCAGGCTTTTATTGAGCTGTTAGAGACCAAGTCTTACACTGAGTTAAAGGCTTTATTCCTGTCAGAACAGAAAGATGTATCTAAGGTTGTGAGTAAAAGAGAGCGTGTGAGTGAGAAGATTGAGAAGAGGAATGAGAGGAGCAGGGAATGGCGCAGACAGAGGGTGTTAGTGAATGAGAAATATGATGAGAATGGTGATGATAGAGAAACAACATACAGTGTGAGGGTTATCAGTTGGGTGGTTTACTACGGACACAATCAGATCCTACAATATATTTTAAAACAGACTGAATTACACAAAGAAACAAAGATTGAACTATTTTGGAATTCCTTTAGCCCCAGGTTAATATATAAAGCTAATAAAAGAGAAAATAATGTTGAAAAAAATAATGCAACAGTCAAATTATTTTTATTAAACTCCATTTATGATACAACAAATCAAAAACAGGAAAATAGTCGGTCTGTTTTTGAACATGACCGCTTATTTGTATTGAGTTGTTACAGTGGTGATTTGCAGACTGTAAAAATTTTAATCAAGTATGTCGATATAAAAATGACAAGTAAAACAACCCAATATTTGTTGAATGATACACCACTGACAGCAGCATGTTGGGGTGGACATATGAGTGTAGTGAAGGAAGCTATAGAAGCTGGGGCTGATATCAATCAACAAGGTAAGTATCATACACCACTGACAGCAGCATGTGAGGGTGGATATTTAATTGTAGTGAAGGAGCTACTAGAAGCAGGAGCTGATATCAATCCACAATGTGACCATGAAACACCACTGACAGCAGCATGTGAGGGTGGATATATGAGTGTAGTGAAGGAGCTTATAGAAGCCGGAGCTGATATCAATCCACAAGGTAAGTATCGTACACCACTGACAGCAGCATGTAAGGGTGGATATATGAGTGTAGTGAAGAAGCTTATAGAAGCCGGAGCTGATATCAATCAGCAAGGTTTGTTTTATACACCACTGACAGCAGCATGTGAGGGGGGATATACGAGTGTAGTGAAGGAACTAATAGAAGCCGGAGCTTATATCAATCAGCAAGGTAAGTATGAAACACCACTGACAGCAGCATGTGAGGGTGGACATATGAGTGTAGTGAAGGAGCTTATAGAAGCCGGAGCTGATATCAATCACCAAGGTGAGGATGATACACCACTGACAGCAGCATGTAAGGGTGGACATATGAGTGTAGTGAAAGAGCTTATAGAAGCTGGAGCTGGTATCAATTTACAAGGTGAGTATGATACACCACTGACTGCAGCATGTAAGGGTGGACATATGAATTTAGTGAAGGAGCTTATGGTAGCCGGAGCTGATATCAATCAACAAGGTGAGTATGATACACCACTGACAGCAGCATATAGGGGTGGACATATGAGTGTAGTGAAGGGGCTTATAGAAGCCGGAGCTGATAACAATCCACAAGGTAAGAATCATACACCACTGACAGCAGCATGTTTTGGTGGACATATGAGTGTAGTGAAGGAGCTTATAGAAGCTGGAGCTGATATCAATCAACAAGGTAAGTATGTTACACCACTGATAGCAGCATGTTATGGTGGACATATGAGTGCAGTGAAGGAGCTTATAGAAGCCGGAGCGGATATCAATCTACAAGGTGAGTATGATACACCACTGACAGCAGCATGTGAGGGTGGACATATGAGAGTAGTGAAGAAGCTTATAAAAGCTGGGGCTGATATCAATCAAAAAGGTGAGAATAATATACCACTGACAGCAGCACGTGAGAGGGGACATATGAGTGTAGTAAAGATGTTACTAGAAGCGGGAGCAGATAACATTCTACAAGATAAGGCAGAAACACCATTGACAACAGCATATTAATGTGGACATACGAGTATAGTGAAAGAGCTGCTAGAAGCCGGAGCTGATATCTATCAGAAAAGAGTATAATACATCACTTGATAGCAGCATGTAAGGGTGGACATATCAGTGAAGTGAAGGAGCTTACAGGAGCTGATATCGATCAAAAGAGTGACATTAATACTCCACAGACAGTAGCGTATAATGGATGATATATTTGTGTAGGTGGGATTGTAGTGATAGGGCTTCTAGGGATAGGAACTGGTCTCAGTGAACTAAATGGGTATCATATACCACTGACAGCATCATGTCGGGTGGACATATGAGTAGCTGCTATAGGAGCAGACTAATATCAAACAGTAAGGTTTGTCAGATACTTACTCCTCTGGTAACAGCGAATGAGGGTGAGATGTTATGAAGATTTACTAGAGGTATGATATTTGAATGGTAAAACAAGACGAATGTTCAGCGAGTTAAGGATAAGCGACATTTTAATATAAGTGTTACTTGTACAGAAAAATGTGCGATTCAGTAAAAGAGAGAATTGTGACTCTGGACAAAGTTATAATGATGGTGGTTTAGTTTTGATGTCTGTGTTAGACGTAAAGGGTTTGTCGGTTTGAATACCTTAAATGTACTGAGAGAAAGATAGCGCTGAGTAAATCAAATTAACATGAAGAATTGATATATTTTAGAAAAAGGTACCTCTTTATAGTGTACATTCAAATATTATAAAAGTAAGAGTATATATCCTGACATAATTCGCAATGTTTTCTCTACCTTCAGTTTTAAAGGTGTCATAAAATTTTGATTTGTTAATATTTATAAGCATTAATATTTGCATTGCTTCAGTAAGAGATTGTTTTGATCAGTCTTCAGTCAGTATGTGTTGCTGTAAGTCATGTAAATTATCCAACTCCTCATGCAATAAAAATGTTTAGTTGCACTCTCATCTTGAATCATTCTGCAAAGGTGGAATAATTTTAATTACAAATGGCATTGAGTGGAAACTGCCATTCTCTAAAAATAATTATATTTTACCTGTTCATCCTTGACATCATAAAGATAAGGATCCATTTTTTGATTCAATACTTCAATATTTTATATTATGGCTGTAATACGTCAATTGTTTGGTTAAAAATGAGTTTACAGTATCATATGAGAGTTGAGGCAAAATTGTGTGAATGCTTTTAGATTTTATTTTTACGTTTTCTGTTGTCCCCTGTTGGCTCTCGTGGTTTTTCTCTGTTGTAAAAGATTGTTCATCAACTTATTGTTAATATGATGTTTAATATTGCATTTGTTTTAAAAGAAATAAATCTTTGAATTAAAAAAAGTAAATTTTTAGAATAAGTCTTTTTGAAAGTGATGGAAGATTTGTTATATTTTTTTTAATCACATAATAAAAGTACTAGTAATTACAAAGATGTTTATCATTTATTTTACTTTAACATATATACACCATTTTTTAGCATTATTTTTTAGTCTAATGCAAAATTTTCTTATTGAAACCTGGCCGAGTCATTGTATAATCAGACATATATTTAGATCATCTAGTGTGCTTCAACTTTTGTCAAAATGTTTTGAATTTGTTATATATAACTGTACGTATATAGATACCTCATGGTATGTAATATGTTGAATTCATTTGTTACAGTTTTCAATGGATATTGTGTATATCAAATAAATGGACAATTGTAATTGATTAATGTTTAGTTTCAAGTAATATTCAATTTATTTGTCCCTTCAATTAATTCTCTTCTCATCTAGGAAATAAACTTACTGTAATGTTCAGCTTCTTTAATTTTTTTTTGCTGTTCTTATAGTCGAATAGCTTATGCAATAGTAAGGTGCCCATCGTCTGTCTGTCTAGTTAGTTGTCTGTCCGTCTGTGAACAATATAATAGAAATATTTTCAAAATGCTACTCCTCCCAAAGTTTTAGTCTGATTTTAAAATAATTATCAGACAATTAGACTAGACTAAATTACAAAAATCTATTTATTGTTTTTTTTTTATTTCGCTGGACCTTGTTGCCATGGTTACTAAAAAAATGATATTTCTTTGATGCTACTCGTCCTACAGTTTTCATTTGATGGCAATAAATCTTTGCCAAGAAAAAATCTACATCAATGATAATTTTTTAAAGCTTGATTTCTTTCTATTGAAAAGATTTAAGTTCAAATGCTACTTCTCTCCCTTCGTTATGAGAATAAACCGGTAGAGCAACAATCTCCTCAGAGTCTTCTGTTCTTTTTTTTCGGCTGAAGACTAAAACTTACAAATAAGCATCGAATATCGCTTCCAAAAATGTTAATTAAAAAATAACAGTGCCTCTATATCGAAAATATGAAATATAATTTTCCAACTGTTCATGTTCTTCTTCATCCTACAACTATAATCTTTCTGAACACGTTATTTCTGCTGATGTAAAACATTTATTAATGAGAACATTAAATCACTTATTCTAAAAGGGCCAAAATAAGGGGATCCTGATCTTTCAAATAGAGTCATATCTTTATTTTAATATGTAGTAATATTATGAATTCTATTAAAAATAACGCTAGACAACGGACCAACATAAAAAGACCTTGACAGTTCGTCAGAGTGGATGAAATATGTGGAGATAACAAACAGTATTCGAGCTCAAAAGTCCATTAAACATAACAAAATAGGAGGAAAGCAAACACAGACCTTTAAAGCATTAAAGGGGGATCAGGTGCCATGGAGGAGTGAACATCTCCTGCCGACCGGCCACATCCGCCGTGCACTACCTGTTATGTTCGGGAAAAAAATCCGGTGAAAAATCAGTGTTTGATAAAAAAAAAAAGTCAGTATTTGAATTATTGATAGATTGTTATTATTGACAAGGTCATTGTATCGACCATAGAACTTATGAAATGATTTTAAACGAGATTGCTGATATTCTTGCTTCATTAATTTGTTTGTCAATATCTTACCTCGTTTTATAAATTGTTCTTACGTAGAACATGCTCTTCCGTATCGAACCAACTGATCGAGATATATAAACTCCGCATACAATATTGCTGCATAAGTAAGGGAGATGACGATAGAAAAGTTAAAGTCATCATGTTTATCTTAGAGTTTGGTTGTTAGATTACCATTTACATCTTTTTTCTAGTAAAATTTCCAAATATAAAACAGATGTGTCATATTCTTTAATATCTTAGATTTCAAGCTCACCGGGACATATCATGTCGACATGAGAATTGACAATACGTAATCAATCTATCTTAATGTCGAGGTGATGGTCACAGCAAGTGTTTTGAACAAATTCTGCTCTGCTTCAAACTCCAATGAATGAAAATGAGGTTAAGCTCCACCCATTCTATGACGTAAGCGGTCCAACATCTCACTCAATGGTCAAACATCAAATTTTTTTTATGCCTGCTCACCAAAACGTTAGAAATGTTAGACTTTTTTCGTATAGATTTGTATAAAAACAAATTTTTAAAGGTATAACAATGTCAAATGTCCCATGCCAGGATCGTTACAGATTTTCTCCTACAACAGAATATTAACACATTACCATGGCCCGCACTCAGTCCGGACCTTTCCCCCATCGAGCATTTCTTGAACATGTCTGGACCTGCCAATGTCCAAGAACACGCTGCAGCACTGCAACAGGAATGGAATAACCTTCCCCCAAAGTGACCTCGGAAGTCTCATTAGGAGTATGCCTTCCCGAATCCGGGCTTGTTTGGCCAACAAAGGGGTTTTTACCAGCTACTGACTCCGTTTCACAATGGTGGTAAATTTGCTGTGTGACCCTGTGTTGGTGTCGACACTTATTCTAAAGAATCTGTCCTTTTCTTACTGCACACGGGGTTTTTCAAAAATTGATAATTGTTTTTTAGAGCTGTTCTGAGATTTGTTTTCTTCCTGATGTCCATGATCTGCATTTCATTGTCCTTGTAAATCAAACATCCCTTCTTTTTTTAATTAGGATATAAAAATGCTAAAGATGTCTGAGATTCTGTTTAATTTTTGAGACAAGGTCTTCTAACATTTATTGTCGGAATACATGTATATTCCATTTGTGCCCTATTATTAGAAGACCTGTGTTTTATTGATATAAAGCAAAATTTATTTCACAACTTAAGTTTGTACATGAGAAGGAGAAAAGTTAACACTTGACCTCAATTTGAAATTAAGATATATCGAGAACAAAATATTTAAACAAATATACAAGCAAATATAACTATCACTGGGTCGTATTTTGTCTGACTTGTTTAATACCAATTGTTAGGCTTTTGTTTTATGTACTGAAATAGACTACGAATGTTACGTCTACCTGATCAATAGATACCGGTAAACCTCACAGAGTGTGTGGCCGGTCAACAGGGAATGTTTACTCCTCCTTGGCACCTGATCCCACCTCTGAAATTTCGAGGCTCCATGTTTATGCCCTCTTCACATTTTTGTTTATAATTTTTTAGATCATTCTCTGCTCGTTATCTTCACCTCATACATTGTTTTAATTGACTTGTTAATCTTCTAATCTACTGGTATCCCGACAGAGATTGCTGTACTAGACACTCAAAGTATCAGACACCATGTCGATTTGTATTCGTATTAAGATGTTGTCAAAGATATATTTACATGCCCAAGAATTTTCCTTAAAATTCTTTGCAAATTAAAAGACTGCCCATATAGAAGGTCGATATCTTTCGGGTAGATAGATATTTCAATTATCCACTATTCGTCAATATAGAGTTACATAGTGAAAATATCTTACAGAATAAACAATACTATTTAGAACATGTGGTTTATTCATAAATCTGTTTAATAATAAGCATTTAACTTAATATCGATTACATAATCTAAACGTGACATTGAATACATTGTTAGGTACAGCGATTTATAGCAAAATATAACTTGCTCGTTGATGTATCCGATGATGGTTGGTAATTAGCATCTGGCAATATGATCGCTAATTTTTTCGCCTAAACTGTGTTCATGTCCCTTTAAGTATTTAATAATAATGTTAGACATTGAATTTTTATTTCAGATATCAAACCAAACGTTTAACCCAGGAAGAAAATAACAATAAAGCAGATTGTTTTAATGCGCCTGGATTGAAAGATCCAAGGAGTATACTGTTTTTTCCTATCTATCTGTCTGTTAGTCTGTCTAGCTGTTTGTCTGTTTATCTGCAAACTTTAACCTTCGCCGTCACTTTTGAACCATGAACAGTTAAGACTTCACATTTAATATGCATACTCCACTTTTAAACTCTTTCAAATGACATCAAGGTCAATGACCTTGTTACCTTGACTGTGACCTTTATGCTAAAAACATTTTACAAAAATTAATTAATCTTGACTTGTTTCAATTAAAACAACATAGTGTATGTACATTCTGGTTTATATTCACATGGTGGCAATGGGAATGACAAATTGTAATAAATTGATTCAGAATTTTAATTTGATTTTGAATTTAAAACATTTTAGCATCAATACATCTTGAAGGACTTTCTAAAATACATAATAAGAAGAATTCATATATTCCTTTCCTACAGAATTGCAAGAGATAAGAAATTATAAAATCTACCTTTTTTGCTCTTGTATATTGATTGATTGTATATTGTTTAACGTCCCTCTCAAGAATTTTTCAGTCATATGGAGATGTCACCGTACGCCGGTAAAGTGCTTCAAATTTAGATCTCTATTTAGTCTGCATCATCCAGACGTTTGCGTTTACCTCCACAAACAGTTTGTGGAGGTAAACGCATATGTCTGGATAATGCAGACTAGACTTATACTGGGCACTCAGGGCAATTGAGCAGTGAATGTTCTTTATCGTGACACGGTACCTACGTTTGTAAGTAGTGGTGTTCCAATCATCGATTATAATCGAAAATCAGTCGATTGCTGACATAATCCAAGCAATCGATTGCATTTTCAAAATTCTGATTAATCGGTTTATTATTTTATTTTACAAGCATAATAGTTTTTAACCCTAATTTTCCATCCACAGCATTGCTTTTGACTTATTTGTGTAAGATAATGGTGGAAATAAACAAACTTTTGTATTTCTACCCGGATAACAAAGCATGTTTCTGGGCATGGGCATACGTTTGGTTCTATAAAAGGAACAAAGGACCAGCTGGATCACCACAGAAGGTGGTCATTTACCTATTCTTACCATTTACTTGTTTAAATTGATATACTTTTTACATATCCGATTATAATCGATAATTAGTTAGTTAGAGTAATCCAATCATCGATTATGAAATTCTTACCGATTCCTATCACTATTTGTAAGGTCATATCGAAATACCCGTGACTTTCACTTCTAGTGCCAAGAGCTTGGCGAAGGAAGTCACCACCTTTGTTTACGTCTAAGGTATGACGCGGCGCCGCGAACGAGAATCGAACCCAGGCTAATGCTCTACAACTAGGCTACCGTGACCGGTGCTCTCGTATATGTAAATTTGTAAAAGAATTATTTTGCATCCCAACACCGACAAATTGTGGTGTCTCCAAATGAGCGAAGAATTCTCGGGAAAGACATTAAACAACAAACATTATTTGTTGCTGGTTTGAAAAGTTTAAATATAAAAAATGTCCCAAAAATATGTAATTTTAATCAATTAGGAAAACTCAAGAAAAAAGAATTTTGCTGCAAGAAGGATAAAATTGAGATAACGAACAGTGTTCAATCTCAAAGTCTATAAAACAATACAAAATAAGAGGAAAGCAAACATCAGATCAGATTAGAGGTGGAATCAGATCAGAGGTGGGATAAATTAATTTTATTATAAAATGTAGTGTACCTTATTTACCTCTTTTGCTTAAATTGAATGTTGATAACTGTTTGTGTTATCTTCAGCACAATCTTGTTTCTTATTATAAGTTTCAATACAAAGCACTTATAAACTGAACGAGAAATGCATTTCAGATTTTAAAATTTAACTTTCAGGAACCCAATTATTTTATTCATGTTATGAATTATACAGCAATGGATTCACAATAAATAAACATTTAAAAAGATATATAAAAGTTCAGATCGATTTTTTAGAAACATAATTTAGGTGAAAGCAGGGGAAAATGAAAATATGTTTTCAATACGTAAATCGGCTTTACCAATTAAAATTAGAAAGTTTTAAAAAGTTGGGTTACAGTGTAATCTATGGTTTAATTATAATTGATTTTCAAATCTAGAAACTTTTAAATTTCTACAGAATATCCTTAAATTGCAACAATTCTTCAAATTCAATCCTGCAAACTTATCTTTCTTATAACCACAAGCATGTACGGTGGTTGTCCGGTAAAATCATAGACAAGATGTCTCGCGTGAATAATAATCATCACTGCATTCTGAAATTTTCACTACTTTATAGTACACATCTTTTGGATAAACATAGCAAATTTCAAATAGATATATTCATAAATAAACGAATTATGAGATTTTATGTTATGTTTTCTATCGCCTTACGGCGCACGGATGATAACGTCAAAATGCCTAAAACAGTGTCAGATGCCTTAAGTTTCATCTTTTCACTAAAAATAAAGTTGGATAAGTCCCACTTAATTTTCGAAATTTCATTTGAAGCACATTTGTAAGTCTCCATAAACAATTGAGGAACCAATCTGTTACAAAAGTACGATCTTCTGAAGATTTATAAGTAAGATAAGGACAATATTCCAACATCATTTAACTAATAGACAATCTTATATTGACGCGGTCAACATTGACAGCGTCTTTAGCTATTACAATTGTAGTTTATCTGTAAGTCTTGTACTACCTTGAGAATCGGTCTAGAAAGACTTTACTCAGAAAACTCCCATTTCATTTATATATTAAAAATTTGGCAATTTGGGGGGATTTTTTTTCTTCTGTATTCATTTTAAGTTTTATACGGCGCTATTACACCATCTGAATCATAGCAAACTGATCTCCGGTGCGCCATAACGTCACCAAACGTCACCATTTTTCGTGTGTTCTGTTTACCACTTTCCCTTTTCAAATACTCAGGAAACTGTCAAAATTTGACCAAATGCATTGAAAATTTTAAGAAGACAATAAAATAAATTAAGGAATGAAATACGGCTAATTTTAACCCTTATCTCATCTATTTAAATCTTTTGTTTCAAATCAATACTCCTCTATTCTCTTATAAAACCTTCGTTTTTTGACCGTGCGCCGTAGGGCCTTACCCTGTGCACATTGGAGCACTATAAAATCTATATTTTTAGGAATATTTTATCCAAAACATTATAATTAACTTAAATATGATAAATATACATTCACAGAAAATTTCAGCTTATTACGTCCATTATTTTTCGAGAAAAATGCTTTGTCCACGATTTTATGAGACAACGCTCGTACACCATACTTTATTAGGTATCTGCTTATTTATTAAGAGCTATTCTCTGTAATGATTTGAACTTTTATATAGGAACTGTGGCACGCATAGTCTCAGAATTTCTCCAAACTCTCTATGATAAAAGTCATTGATACCCTAAACTAAAATCAGGCAAAAATTGGTTGCTATGTGTTATTGTTACCATGGCAACATGTCTGAAAGTTCGAAAAATAGCAGTTTATAACATGTTTAGAGCTCCACATTTAACATCTGCGGCAAAGCAAACCATTGGCAATGACTGTATCCAAAAGTTGAAGGTCAGATGTCTCAAATGCATGATAAACATGTCTGGTAAATCAACTCTTTTAACGTTACTATGGTAACAAAGTATTCAAAAGTAAAAAAAACTTCATTAAATCTTTTAAAGTCATACACATGAAAATAAAAAGCAATTATAGGATGAAATGTGACCAAATAATAGAAAAAAAGAGCCTTGAAACATATACCAAGAACAGAATATGATATTTCATTTTGGTTTTTATATCACAAAGAGCCTTCAAAGTAACATTCTGTATGTTTAAATCTGATCTTATATTTTAAAAAAGCACATTTCCTCATAACTTATGATCAATTTTATAAGATGTTGGTGGGTTCCAAGTTTTCCAATTTGAAAAGAAATTCAGATTAGATTCTTTAGATAGAGCGTTCCTATGGAAATAAGCAGAAAATATATGCTTAAAAACCTGAAAAATATTTTCTTTCCTTGGATACGTACCTTTAAATGTAGATTCCCAAAACTTTTACGATTGATGTTTATTAACAGCTAACTTGACTTAAATTTTCACTATCATCTCTAAGTGGAGGCACGAAGTTGGTACACAGGGTTTAATATTGATATAAAATTCACAAAATCGAAAATTTTCCCTTCTTGGTTACCATAGCAACAGTGTTGTTTTATGTATCAAATTTTATCAATATATGATATTCAACTTCAGTTCTAATAGATAAGTACTATTCAAACTGAGTCCTTTAATTTGTTTCTGGATTAAATGACAATTTAATTCTTAATACAGCGAAAAATAATTCACTTATAAGCAGTAGTACTTTGTTTCCATGGTAACACTGCTAAGTAGCAATTATACCCAATTTTTCTTATGATTTCGGTGTTGCAAGGTTCTAAGGATGCATATTTGCCAGTCTTGAATTTTTTATGTTTTTCCTCAAAACAGTAGCAATAACCCAATCTTAGTTACTGGTTTTGCATGGTTACACTGTGTTACCATGGCAACCTATACTTAAGGTAAAATATTTTCATTGTTTTTCTTAAGTTGTTCATTGAGTTTGAGCATGTAATACCTACCATAAGTGAATACAGAGTGTTTTTTCAGCATTTTAAATATATTCCAAAAGTACCCTTGGTTACCATTTACTTAGAGATGTATTCTAAACAGTTTCTTTACAGTATAACTGACATCATGGTGTCATGTCTTTGTGAGAATGGTTTGTTTGCCTTTTCTAGCTTTTATCAAGCCACAGTCAAGATTTAAAGTGGCTGTAAATCTCGATTTTTCAAACTTTTCCGGCTGTTTCCATGGCAACCGAGACACATAGCAAGGCAATTTTGTTTGATATTTCTTTCTGGTGTCAAGTACTAAGCATGGGTGAAGTTTCATAAAAATCGGTGACCATGCGTGGCAACGAAGTTTAAGTGGTTACAGAGAATGGCTATTAATTACTCTGAAATCCGGGTAATTACATTACTAACAAGATGAAACATTTATGACATAAACTCGATATAACAATTCATTTTAGATATTTTTGAAAAAGAGTTCAAACGATGGAAAGAGGAGGATGAGGTTTACAGTGAAAGCCACGGCTTCCCTGCAATGTTGGATCAAGTCAGAAAACAACCTTATATGACATTTGTTGGTGTCCCAGGATCTGGGAAATCAGCAACGATTCATCACATAGCCCTGATACTCCTGAAGGAAGAGTATAAGGTTGTACCTATTATAGACATCAGGAAGATTGAAGATTATTCTGACTCTCGTTATCCACAGGTTTTTGTCATTAATGATGTGGTAGGTGTTTTAGGTCTGCAAAAACAAAAGTTAGAGACATTGACAGACTATGAAAAAAGAATTTCAAATCCGTCCAATAGAAATTCAAAGGTATTAATGTCATGTAGGGAAGCCGTGTTTAATGAATGTTACAAATCATTTTTCTCAAATGAAAATAACACAATTAAGATGCATATTTCCGAAAATATATTGAACGATGAAGATAAGAAAGCGATCCTTCAGAAACACGGCATAGATAGAGAGTTGTTGACTCCTGCATTACTGGGGGACACATTGGATATGTTTCCTCTGCTGTGTAAACTATATTCAAAAGAGGAGAAATTTAGAAAAAATGTTGAAAGGGTCTTTACCTGTCCAGCCGGATGTATTTTAAGTCAATTTGATGAAATGCAAGGGCGAAATAGATTATGCTATGCTACATTGGTTTTGTGCATGTTAAATGACAATAAACTATCACAAGAAACATTGAAAAACACAGGAAATGGTGATTTTTGCGAAATGAAATCGAAAGTATCAGAAAAATGTAAAATTGAAAAAGACACTGATGCATATAAATTTGAAGAAGCGTTGGGAGTGATGGAGGGTACATATACGAAACTCTGTGGTGCTGAGTATACATTTATTCACGACTCTGTGTTTGAAATTCTTGCATATCATTTTGGTTCTCAGTTTCCAGAATTGTTTATAAAATATATCAGCAGTAGTTACATTGCTAGTAAATTGAAAATACAAGAATGTAAAAAAGAATCAGAGATTGACAATAAGCACGATGATAATGAAAAATTTAGTGTTGAGGAGCAGGAAACTTCAAGCAGTGAAACAGTCCAGGACTCATTTGATCTCTGCATAAGGTTAAGAGAGGATCAGTACTTTATGTTAGCGGAGCGTTTGTACAGAGATATAGAAAATATGGAGCTGCATGATGTTTTTATGAATGATGTTTTGAAACACCCAAGAGTTTGTCAGGTTTTTATTGAGGTGTTAGAGACAAAGTCGTACATAGAGTTGAAGTCTTTATTTCTGTCAGAACAGAAAGATGTGTCTAAGGTAGTGAGTAAAGGAAAACGTGTGAGGGAGGAGATTGAGAAGAGGGATGAGAGGAGCAGGGAATGGCACAGACAGGAGGTGTTGGTGAATGAGAAAAAACATTATAGAGAAACAACATACAGTGTGAGGGTTATCAGTTGGGTGGTTTACTACGGACACAATAAGATCTTACAATATATTTTAAAACAAACTGAATTAAACAAAGAAACAGAGACTGAACTATTTTGGCGTTCCTTTAGCCCCAGGTTAAAATATGAAGCAAAAAAAGGGGAAAATAACATTGAAAAAAGTATTGCAACAGTCAAATTATCTTTATCAAACTTCATTTGTGATGCAACAAATCAAAAACAGGAAAATAGTCAGTCTGTTTTTGAACATGACCGCTTTTTTATTGGGTTGTTATAGTGGTGATTTAGACACTGTAAGAATATTAATCAAGTATGTCGATATAAAAATGACAAACAAAAACATCCAATATTTGTTTAACGATACACCACTGACAGCAGCATGTAGAGGTGGACATATGAGTGTAATGAAGGAGCTTATAGAAGCCGGAGCTGGTATCAATCAACAAGGTAAGTATGATACACCATTGACAGCAGCATGTGAGGGTGGATATATGAGTGTAGTGAAGGAGCTTATAGAAGCCGGAGCTGATATCAATCCTAAAGGTACGTATCATACACCACTGACAGCAGCATGTGAAGGTGGACATCTGAGTGTAGTGAAGGAGCTTATAGAAGCTGGAGCTGATATCAATCCAAAAGGTGAGTTTGATACACCATTGACAGCAGCATGTAAGGGTGGCCATATAAGTTTAGTGAAGGAGCTTATAGAAGCCGGAGCTGATATCAATCAAAAAAGTGAGTTTGGTACACCATTTACAACAGCATGTAAGGGTGGACATACGAGTGTAGTGAAGGAGCTTATAGAAGCTGGAGCTGATATTAATCTACAAGGTAGGTATGATACACCACTGACAGCAGCATCTAAGGGAGGACATATGAGTGTAGTGAAGGAGCTTATAGAAGCCGGAGCTGATATCAATCCTAAAGGTATGATTGATAAACCGCTGACAGCAGCATGTGAAGGTGGCCATATAAGTTTAGTGAAGGAGCTTATAGAAGCCGGAGCTGATATCAATCCTAAAGGTACGTTTGATACACCGCTGACAGCAGCATATCAGGGTGGACATATGAGTGTAGTGAAGGAGCTTATAGAAGCCGGAGCTGATATCAATCCTAAAGGTATGTTTCATACACCGCTGACTGAAGCATCTAAAGGTGGTTATATGAGTGTAGTGAAGGAGCTTATAGAAACAAGAGCTGATATCAATCCTAAAGGTACGTATGATACACCGCTGAGAGCAGCATGTAAGGGTGGTTATTTGAGTGTAGTGAAGGAGCTTATAGAAGCCGGAGCTGATATCAATCCTAAAGGTACGTTTCATACACCACTGACAGCAGCATGTGAAGGTGGACATATGAGTGTAGTGAAGGAGCTTATAGAAGCCGGAGCTGGTATCAACCAACAAGCTAAGTATAAAACACCCTTGACAGCAGCATGTGAGTGTGGCCATATAAGTTTAGAGAAGGAGCTTATAGAAGCCGGAGCTGATATCAATCCTAAAGGTACGTATGATACACCGCTGAGAGCAGCATGTAAGGGTGGTTATTTGAGTGTAGTGAAGGAGCTTATAGAAGCCGGAGCTGATATCAATCAAACAGGTAAATTTGATACACCACTGACAGCGGCACGTACGGGTGGACATATGAGTTTAGTGAATGAGTTACTAGAAGCTGGAGCAGATAACTTTCAAGATAAGTCTAAAACACCATTATGCTGTTGTCAATGCTGACATACAAGTGTAGTGAAAGAACTACTAGAAACCGTGACTGATATCAGGAACGTGAGTATATTACACCACTTGATAGTAGCATGTAATAGTGGACCTATGAGTGCAGTGAAGGAAGGAGCTTATTGATGTCGGACCTTATAATCAAAAGAGTGATATTAATACACTACTGAAGAACCATATAATGGATGATATATATGAAAAGGACGAGTGTAGTGAAGGAGCTTCCGGGGATAGGAGCTGTTCTCAATGAACTTAATAGGTATCATGTTTCATTGACAGCATTATGTCGGGTGGAGATATGAGTAGCTGCTATAGGAGCAGACTGATATCAAACAGTAAGGTTTGTCAGATACTTACTCCACTGGTAACAGCGGATGAGGGTGAGATGTTATGAAGATTTACTAGAGTTTTAATATTTGAAAGAACTGCTACAGACTGGGGCTAATTAACATTCACAAGAGTTCCTTAATGCATTCTGCTAGAACTCATGTATGCTAATTATATATACTGTGGAAATCGTTTTTAATAAAATTGAGACTGTTATTTTTGCAAAATCAATTGATGATTTAAAATTTGCATTTTATCTGTAACATTTTTTGTTTAGAATGATTGATGGACAAAGTTTTTTGGTGGGTGATTTTATAGAGATGATATTATTCCCCTGGATGTGTGGGTTGATGTTATTGTCAGGGTAAGGTTCTGTGCTATTCTAACATGGTCTGTCTGTAAAAGGTTAAAGAAGACGAATGTTCAGTAAGTTTAGGATAAGCAATACTTTTTTGAAATCGTTCATGTGTGCATATAAGTGATGCATATATTGAAGAATGTGCGATTTAGTTAAAAGAGAGAACGATGACTCAGGACAAGGTCATAATGATGGTGGGTTTAGTTTAATTGTCTATATTAGACTTAAAGGGTGTGTCGGTTCTAGACAGGACATGGTGATTATTGAATAAGTTTTAAAAATCGAAGATTTGTTTGAATACCTAAAACATGCTGAGAGGAAGATAGTGCTGATTAATCAAAGAGATGTGAAAGTTGATGTTCTTTAGAAAAAAGTAATTCCGCATAGTGTACATTAAAAAAATTATAAAAATAAGAACATATGTCCTGACATTATACGCAATGTTTTACCTACCCTCTCTTTCAAAGGTGTCTTCAAATTTTGATTTGCTATTATTTACAAGTATTAAAACTTGCTTCAGAAAAAGGTCGGTCTTTATTCAGTATATGTTGTTGTATATTATATAGAACGATTTAACCCTTTCTTTGGACTTTCAGTACGGCGTGACTTTCTCGGCGCTACGTAATGGCGAATACCAGTAGATTTTTATTGGTTACGAAATTAATAACATCAGGAACTTAAAATTGTTGTTGATAACGATAAGACGACTTATGCCCCACCTCTGTACCGTGAGAGAACTTTTAATTGGCTATTTACTTTATCAGTTGACATCTGTCGCATTTCTATCATATGCATATTGCAACAGTGAAGAGACGCTGTGTAAATTTCAGAAAGCTAATTAGGTAACATCGAGAATGCCACGCCTTATTGAAAGTCCAAGCTAGGCGTGTAATGTTCCTAAATTGTCCAATTCACCATGCAAAAAAAAACAAGTTAGTGCATCCACTCTCATTTTGAATCATTCTGCAAAGTTGGGACAGTTTTAGTCACAAATGGCATTGAGTGGAAACTGCCATTCTCTACAAATAATTAAATTTTACCTGTTCATCCTTGACATAAAGAGAAGGATCCATTTTTTGATTCCATACTTCAATATTTTATATTATGGCTGTAATGCATCAATTGTTTGGTTGAAAAGAAGTGTGTATCATGAGTTGCTGCAATATTGTGTGAATGCTCAATTATTCTTTAATCTTTATCATTACTTTTTCGTTGTCCTCAATTGTCTCTCATGGTTTTTCTTTTCAGGTATTGTTCATTTATTTGTAAATGTGATGCATAATATAATATTACATTTGTTTACAATTAAAACGAAAACATCTTTGAAATAGAAAAAGAAGAATTTTTGAAAAAATATTTAAAAGAGTTAGAATATATGTTATTATATATAAATTTTTTTAATTAATCACATAATAAAAACAAATACAGAGATTCTTATCATTCATTTTACTTTAAGTTACATATACAGAAGTTTTTGAGTATTAATTTTCAATATATTGCAAAGTTTTTTGATGGAACCTGAACGTTACATTGTACATATTCAGACATATACTTCGATCATCTAGTTTTTTTTTTCGATTTTTGTGAAATTTTTTTTTACAAAGTTTTATATATAACTGTTTATATATACTTCATAATATGTAATACATGAACTGTAAACGTATTATATGCAGCATGTGCGATATTTGGCGAAAATTGAATTTGGGACAAGTTGGTGTTGATTTGATTTAGCTCATGTCCTAATGTTCTTATTTAAATATAATTACTAGACATTAAGCAAGTGTACTTGAATAAGCGAGAGTTTCTTACAACCAAATGTGCTGGAAAGTATTCAAAGCTTAATGTAATAAGTTTACAGTATGTTGTTCAATTCTGTTGTCACAGTTTTCAATGTATATTTTGTATATCAAATCAGTGGACATTTGTAATCGATTAAAGAAATGTTCAGTTTCATGTGTTATCAATTAATCTGTTCCTTAAATGATTTTTTTCTCATCATTATGTTAATAAAAAAAACTTACTGTAATGTTTAGCTTTTTTTAATTTTTATAGCTCTAATAATCGAAGAGCTTATGCGATATTAAGGGGTAAGTCGTCAGTTGTCCGTCCAGTTGTCTGTCTGTGCAACAATACATAGAAATTTCTTTGAAATATTTTCAAAATGCCACTCCTCTCACAGTTTTGCTCTGATTTCAAGATAATTGGCACACAAGTAGAATAGACTAAGATACTTAATTCTATTATCGGTTTTTGATTTCGATGAGAACGGTGTTGCCATGGTTACTAGAAATATACATTTTTTGAAATATTTTCAAATGATACTCCTACAGTTTTTGTTTAATTGTAGTAAATATTTGCCTAGAAAAGACTAAACCAATGATATTTTTTTAAGTCTGAGGTTTTGCTTCTAGTTCAAATGCTACTTTTATTGCAGCCCTGGATGCACTAACTTGTTGTTTTTTTTTTTTTGCATGGTGAGTTGGACAATTTAGGACCATTACACGCTTAGCTAGAGGACCGGGCTGCTCTATATATATTAAGTTTAAGTGTTGGTGTATGGTGATTGGGGTGGGAGAAGTATTCAGAATGAAAAGTTTTCTAAACATTGAAAGAGTGTTAATCAAAATGTCCTTTCCTTTTCTAAATTACGAGATACATAACATATATACTTCGATAAAGTGAATCTGTAAAAATAAATAGGCTTCACATATTTAATATATAAAGTTGTTGATCATTACAATCGAAAAAAAAAACGACGGATCCTTTTTTGTAGAACTATAGAATTTTACTTCTCGCATAAAAACGTTCTGTGCATAGTTCATCTTTTATATTCTAAAATTAAAAATGAATACATTTTTAATACACGTGATGCATGTGTCTAACTTCAGTTTATATTTAATGCAGCGAAAATTCACATGAGGTTTTGATCAAGTTTTAAATAGTATTGTTTTTGTTCGATTTCTATCCGACTGTAAGTTTTCAAAATATTCGCAACTTTCGTCGCCATTAATTAGGCGCATGCCTTTTCACACACATCAAAGCGGTTTGATGATCAAGATCCATTTCCATTGTTCACCTTATATATTTCCCGGGCACCAATTGATGGTTACATCAATGTTTACTTGTCATCAATGTTTACTTGTCATCAATGTTTTACTTGTCTTCCTTTGTTATAACAATAAACCAGTAGAGCGACCGTCCTGTCAGAGATTTCTGGTCTTTTTTTTTAGCCTCAGGCTTTGAATAAACATCGAATATGGCTTTCAAACTGTTTAATTTCAAAATATTTACTATGCCTAGATATCCATCCATCCAATCCTCCATCTTATCCATGTTCTTCTTAAGGTTATACTCAACGTAGTTTGAACCTTTTTAGATTCTTCCTTGGAGTTGAAGAGTTCCACTAAATGAAGGACCTGTGTGCAATATTTTTGATCTCTATATTTGTACAGAAGCCCGTTGAGGCCAGGTCAGAGAAAGAAATATTTTTTATTGCGTTTAATCGCAATAATTATTGTGTTTAAACGCAAAACATTGCGTTAAATCGCAATAATAATTGCGTTTAAACGCAAAATATTGCGATTTATCTCAATAATCATTGCGTTTAAACGCAAAGCATTTTGCATTTAATTGCAAAGGATTGCGTTTAAACGCAATGTTTTGCGTTTATTCGCAATAATTATTGCGATTAATTGCAATAATTTTTTTTGGCGTTTAGTCGCATTAATATTGCGTTTAATTGCAATTACATTGCGATTAAACGCAATAATATTGCGATTAAACGCAATAATTTTTTGCATTTAAATGCAATAATCTTTGTATTTAAAAGCAATCATTTCTATTGATCTTTGAAGAATGCAGTGGCCCCATACTGATATGTAGTAACCTTTGAGGAGAATTGTGTATTGTTAAGCCTTAGAAAGAAACAATTTCAAGCTTCAGCATGTAAAGATATCTATATTCCTGTTAAAGTTTTGCTCAATTGCTTACAAACACGGATGACATTTCCTATATTGTTTTCTCTACTTTTAAACTTTAATAAAGCTACGTAAACTATTTCATAGAATTTTCGAAATAAAAGACCCGAAAAGAAATAATGATTGAAAAACTATAACTCCACGTTGCGGTCACAAAGTTTAAACCCTTTACCTGTATAAAGGGCTTAAGGAAACAACTGATTAAATGTTTAGACTTATGTATAATTATGTACATAAACATATTATGTATTTATGTATATTTACAGCCTTTCTTTTGATCGCGTGCAAATATGTAAACACAAGAATACGAGAACTTATGAGATGGAATCATTTGAAATAAAATATAAATCAAATGAAAACAAATTAGCCAATGTGTTCTTCCAAATTGATATGTCTAATATTTATGATACCACTGAAGCATCCTTCATTAGCTGTGGTATTTAAGGAATTGATTTATGGCTGCGCACAAAGTGTTGGGCTGTAATAGCTTTGAAAAACTTGGTTGTTAGGAGACCATTTTCAAAAAGACACAAAACCAAACGGCTAAGTGTACTTATTATAATCTTTGCATCTAAACACCAAAAATTTTTGCGATTAAACGCAAAAAATTATTGCAATTAAAGCAATATTATTGCGATTAAACGCAAAACTTATTGCGTTAAATCGCAAAGGCATTGCGTTTAAACGCAAAAGATGCGTTTATACGCAAAAGATTGCGATTAAACGCAAAGTACTTTGCGTTTAAACGCAATGATTATTGCGATTAATCGCAATGTTTTGCGTTTAAAAACGCATGCTGATTTTTTGTCTAAGATCATAAATGATGTTTTGAATCTAGAATATCCTGGAAAATCATCAGTAAATAAGGTACGTTGCATATGTCCTTAACCCTGCAACCATAGTCCTTCTGAACACGTCATTTCAATATTCAATCACTTATTTGAAAAGGGCCTAAATTAGGGAACCTTGATCTTTCAATTGATGTTATATTTTTTTCAAATATGTATTATAAATTCTATTGAAAATTACGCCAG